GGGGGGGGGGGGGGGGGCCTTAATCTATTTTAATCAAAAAAAAAAAATTCTTTTTTATAGTTATCTTCAATATACGACAACGATTTTATGTCTTACTAAATAATATTTATCAATCTTTTCTTCGATTGAATCTTTTTACAAATCAATCAAGCGATACTTCAACAATACAATATGAACGAACATTAACTCGTTTATATCTCATTTGTCTTTTTACTACAACATTTGCTGTTCTTATATATATGTGTATATCTTATCAAACAAAAACAATAACTATTAAAACTCCTCTTCAATCAACATATGAAAATCTTTTAATTAATTATCCAAATACACGTATTCAATGTCTTTGTTTACGTATCTCAATTCCTTATCAGACATTAATAACAATTAAATTTGATTTACATCAAATATGTCAAAGTGATTTTGTATCGTTATCATGGCTTGATTTAAAATTTAGTGATGGTAATTGGTCAATTTATGATCAACGTGATTTTCGTATTCGTAGTTTTGCTTATTTTAAACAACTTGCTTCACTTTGTACATTATTCAATCACATTCTTATTAATGAATTAAAAAATTTTGGTCAAAATGAATTTATTAGTACACAATTGATGTCTTCAAAAACATTTGAAACACAATTACAAACAATATTAAACAATTTTCGTACATCAATATCAACAACACTTCTACGTACACTTCAACTTTTTCGTGATACAATACAAGGAAATCAACTTATATCGATTTATACAACTAATTGGATATATACTCCTCGATCATCAATTTGGGATGCATTTAATACAAAACCTTTATCTCATGGATTCAATTGTTCATGTGCTATATCAAATGAATGTGTTGAATCTGCAGCTATCTATTTATCTAATAGTACTTAATTCAATATTCCAGGTCTTGTTCTTGGTTGTTTACCAATTGAATCTCTTTTTCGTTCAACACTCGAATGTTTTTATAATCAAACATGTGTTGATATACTTGTATCGTATTTGAATAATACTTCTATCAATAAAACAATTTTTAATGCTCTTGATTCAACAACTTATAGTGGATTTTTTCCAAATATGACTATCAATGAACTCGTAAATAATCTCTTTGTAGAGACTGAATCATGGAAAGCTAATATATCTTATACATCATTTTATTCTCAATGTGAACCTACATTCTGTACATATACGATTATTAAACGAAATAATGCTCTGTTTATATGTACGAATATTCTTGGTTTATATGGAGGATTAATGAAAACATTTCGTCATATTATACCAGCAATGATGGCTATTTATACATTTATTTTACGTAAAATGTGTTGTATCCGAAACAATTCAATCACTTCACAAATAGTAGTAATCGATTCGACTACGACTGTTGAAATGAAATGAACAATAAACTATTTCGAACTTTTATTATTTTATTGATAAAAGTATATTTCATTCTAATAAGTTTTGTTTTATGTGTGCTATGCAATCCGGTCATGTATTCGTCGATTAATTAGATCTCAAAGTTTCCGAATATTTTTACTGTTTCAAACTGCTATTTGTATACTAATACAGAAGAAAAAAAACCGGTTTGATCATTATTGAGCAATTTATTATAGATGAGAACAGATTACAGACGAAGTAACTGAATGCATGGAGAGGAAAATGAATTATCAAAAAGGTGAAGATGTATTATTGCGATAAAAAAGTATTCATGTATATATCCACAATTATGACTTTTAGCACTTATATTGTGTTTTCATTCGAGCGTCATCAATAGAGATGTAAGCCGAAGGGTCAAACGACCGCGGCTGTTTTAATGGTCCAATTTTTTTCCATGGTGGCGGCGCCTACTAGACTCTATGTTTTTCTACACCGGCAGCGGCGCAACGGCTGAACTAACTTTTTCACAGCGGCAGTGACGGCGCAGCTGGATGACTTACACCTCTAGTCATCAACAATCAGCAAATATGTATTGAGTACAGTTGCTATAAGAATCGATTTATTTTTCACTTATTTAGTATGATTTGTATTTCATATTAATAGAAAAAATATTTTTAGACTTTCTGTTTTCTCTCACCGTATAATACTTTATATATAGTAATTAATTTTATTTAGTTTCAACTCTATTTCATTTTTACTCGTACGAAGATATAAAGTTCATCTAATAGTCAACGATTTTGCATATATTTGGAGAGACGAAGTATTTAGATTCTATTTTACTTGAGATTCTGCCACCTAGATTATTCTTTTTCTTTTAGTTCTCTACATAGCTTATAGGTAAATAATTTACTCTTGATTATACTATATCATTTTCCTAAAGTACTTCACCGATTGTCATTCATATATGATATACTTTATTGAATGCAAAATATTGGTTGAATGCTTTCACTGATGACTCATGAAGTCTATGGTAACAAAAAATGACTCACCATTCTAGTTCTTACTTCAGTATGGCGTAAGTACCTGAATATAACGCATAATCTACTTTTTTCTTAAATATCTTATTTTTGTTTAGGTGACAAAATGGCGTCTTGTGTTGTAAATGCTCGCAGTAATCGTTATTTACCAAAACAGCTAGCAACTACAACAGAAAATTATGATACAGAACATTTTTATTATAATCCTCAAACTAATTTACTTGATTGTAAACTTTTAACAAAAAATTTATATTATCCTTTTTTTCAAGAAGTTTATCCAAATAACATTAGTGAATATGAGTTAACGAACGATATGTTATATGTTTTAAAATCATATACAAATAGTCAAACAAATGAATGTTATATGAAAACAAATTTAAATTTACTTAGTGCTAATTTTGATGATATTGATTGGATATATGTTAATAAACTTCGTTCATTAATACGTGGCTTAATTAAAACAAATATAAAACCTATTTATTATAGAGGTTTAAATTTAAGTGATAATGAAATAAAATATTATATTGAAAAGCGAAATAATTATTATTATACAAATTCATTTTTATCATTTACAATTGATCGTTTATTAATCTATTCTGGTAATGCTATATTAATATTAAAAATAGAAAATTCAAATGAAAAAGCAAAAAAAAATATAGCTAATATATGGAAATGGAGCACATTTAGTGAAGAAAAAGAAGCTCTTTTAGCCGTTGGTACTAAATTAAAGATTTTAAGTGTTCATTATTTTGGTTATAAATGGGAAATTGAAGTTGAGTTAATGGAAGATGATGAAGAAGTTTAATCACTTAAAATTGTAATATAGATGAAGAGATGTTTGAGAACAGAAAAAGAATATCATATAATGACTCGAGTAGTCAAATTTACTATGGTTCGTATTGATAACTTTAATAAATATAATTTTGTAAAAACTTCAATTTCTTTGTGAAGGATGTTTATTAAAATTGAGGTCTGTAACGAATCAATCGGACCCCATCTTATTGTCTTAAGTTCTCTTTCCTACATTCCTGTTTTAACATGTTCAGTTGTTTTTGTTCGACGTATGCTTCTAAACGGTCTCTGTTTCTATCAGTTTTTAAAAACGATTGTCAAGAAACTCATGTATCTTCTAGAACATTATCTGTATTATGAGTTTTTTTTTGTATTCGAATAGAAAGAAATCAACAAATGTAGGTACCCTTACTCATCAACTCAAAAATAAGTATACTACGTCAAGAAACGGAGTAGCGTAAAAGGGGTCATTTTGATTCTTGTGACTTCATGTCTTCTTAAGCCAAAAACTCAAAGTTTATGATAACTTGTAATTCACTCATCAAGATCTACCTTATTTCTAGTAAGAAACGTTGTTTTCTACTAGACGTTTTTGTCTTACTATCTTTTTTTCTATCATAAAAGACAAACATGTAAGGCACACATATATATACTCATCGACCATATTGCAGATAGAACAGCGATCAATAACTACAACAACAAAAACTAAATTTGTCGATTTTGATGGAAAAATAATTCGATCAACGTTATAATTTTTATGGTGATATATTTTTTCCGATTGATTATACTCTTTTGAATGAACTCCAATGGAAAACCACATGGTATTCATAATGTTATTACAACGACAACTACAGTTACTTATTTTGAAGGTTTTTAAAAAATGCATTTTTGTTAATTATAGAAGAGACATTAGTGTCTAAGAACGATCAAACAACTGAAGAAAAATTTGTTGAACATGGTAAAGAATTAGTTATTGATACATAAAATATAACTGGTGGTTATATTCTACATCACATGAATAGATGAGACTAAAACAATTATTTTTCTCAATTTCTTGTAGTGTTATCTTGACATCTTTATTCATAGAAAAATTGTTTTAATCAAACTACGAAAACTAATATTACTGGGAATAATTAAATCTATATTGTTTTTTTTAATATGTTAATTAATGACATTCAAAGTATGTCAATAGATTTTTATATAAAATAGTTAATACTATATTTATCAAGTTTTCCACATTGAAAATAACGAAGACTTCGTTTTTTTTTTCATTCACTTTTTAGCAATATCATTTTGTAGATTGTTATCATTTTTATTGTTGCTTCATCTACTTTCATTAACTTTAATAAAAACTGCTATTGATATTTAATACAAGCATTAACAGCGTATGATATCTTTTCCTTTGAAAAAATTCTACACTATATGTATGAAAAATAATGATATCTTTATCTCCGGTAAATACAGATAAATATCAACAAGAATTTTTATTCTTCAATACAAATATGAATTATAACAATCATTATATGAAATAACTGATGAATTGAATACCTTCAAGAAATACGAAGAATACTTGAATAATCCTCAGCAATATATGTTTTTGTTGATAACAAGAAATCAATGATTCGATTGATTAATGTTCCTGAATGAAAGACTCAGTGGAGTTTTCGGAAGAGATGATCTCTCATTCATAGGTCTTGTTGCTAAATTTTTAGTGAATTGATTAGATTCACCTAGTTTATTTTGGGTAGTTTCGATTGCTACTCATCTCAAATTCATTATATTCATTTTTTAAATCAGACTACAAGGAACTTCAACTCAATTTTTTTGCCACCATCAAATCATTATCCACTTATAAATGGCAAAGTTTAAAACTTCTTACTCTTGATGATCAGTTCTAGTTCGATGAGGAATTTGATAGTAATATTCAAGCAGATGATCAATTAATAATGATTTTCATTACACATTACAAAACAAATTAAGACAACGAGTATTTCTTAAAAATAATTTTCTCTTATGTTCATTTCTATGACGAATGGTAACCTTACTGAATTGATAAAGTAATTGTATGTATAAACTCTATATTGATAATTATCCGAATAATTTATTTATTTAGTTCTAATATATAGGTACATTTTTTTGATAAATATACTTAGCAATAAAATAAACAATATTATCATCGCGGATAGAAGACATTTCGAATTTTAAGAACAATAATTTTTCAAATTATGAAAGATTTATAAGAACACTTCAATAATACTTCTATTTCATATGAATATATGAAAGACGAAGACGTTAGCAAAGGTCAATATCTTTAGAATTTGTACAGTGTATAATAGTTTATTTACTATCTCAATATCCAATTGCAAACAAAGAGAAAGAGAAGCAAGACCATATAGAAAACGAGTTTATGTTGACTGCCGCATGTGAGCAATGATACGTAGCCAATTAATTTCAGTCAAATAAATTGAATAAAATTAATAAATACATTGATTAATGTTTATTTCTATAATTCGATCCAATAGAAAATGAAATAGAGATAAGACAAACATTTATATAATTTTATAATTCATTTACATTAGATCCATACTTTAGATCAGTAGGAAAACTTTACAAGATTAAAGATTTTAATAATTTTCTTTTACGCAATCTATTCAAACATTATGTACAATATATACATTCCAATACTTTTTCTTTTTTTATCTATTTGTCTTCTATAAAAAGAAAACCAACACACGTTCTTATTGCGTCTAATATATGACTTATCAAAAATACAAGAAGAGGAAGAAAAAAAAAGATAGGAACTAAATAGATCGATGCGTCAATATGAAAAGATACACTCGTTTTTAAACTCATCAGATGAGAATGTAAAAGGTGAAATCGCTGTTTTGTTTTCATTGTAAATATTAACGTGTCTATTTTTTGATTTCCTTTGTTTAGATTATCAATAAGAAAAAAAGAATACTATGGATTTTCGAGTTCTGCTTATAAATTTATTCAATCAATTGGCAGATAATGATCGTCAAGCATTGCATTTTGTTGTGGGTAATAAAGTTCCACGTAAAGATCGAGATAATTGTACACCTTCTGGTAGTTTAAATCTTCTTGATTGTCTTTTTGATCGAAATTTAATTACTGGAGAAAATTTTGATTATTTAATTAATGTATTTGAACAAATTAATTGCAATGATGCTTCAGAACAGCTCAAAGGTTAGTATCGATTTCATTTGATTATGAAACTTAAAAACTATTTATTAGAATATAAATTGCGTACTATAAAAACATCGATCGCTGAGCCAATGTCATCAACATCATTATTATTTGACGAATCTGTATTAGATATTGAAGATGATAAAATGCGAAGTGTTTCTAGTAAGTAAAAACAACATTCAACAAATGATTTGTATGTTTGTTACAGATGATGTTTCAAGACAATTTCAACAATTATCTTCCATTTCTGAAGAACCACCAACTGTATTAGAAAGCTCAATGTTACGACCTAATACAAATACATTTTCTGAAAAAACATATAATATCGATGAACATGAAAGGGAACAATTGTCTTCAATTACTTCAAAAATATTGAATAAAAAGCATAGTTTATTTTCTCTAATTTTAATCATTATTACTATCTTATCTATTATAATTTGCTTAATTCTATTTCGATCTTTCTTCATTGAATCACCAAAATTGAATAATGCGACATCTAGGACCATGGAGCAAAGTAAGCATATAAAATTAAATTAAATCATATTATTTATCAAATTTTCATTTATGTAGAGCTATTTTATATCATGAAAGAAGGATTTCAATACGGTTATAATAGTCTTATTCAAAACGAAACGTTTAACGATGCCAAAGATCATAATCTATCCTATGGTGATCAATGTATCGGTATTGAATTGAAATGGTCTATTAACACTCTGTTTTCTATTCAATTCTTATATTCAAACGATCAATCATCAAGTTTACGTACTACCACTCAAAGCAAAGAATTATCTAGTCTCTCGTCTCCACTTTTAAGTATCTTCATGTTGAATCCAAATGAAAAAATCAATAAAATAAATTTATATCACAATATAAGTCGAAAAAAGTTTAATATAGTCGGTATACAATTTTATACGACTAATGGAAGAAAAACTAATGTATTTGGTTCAAATGATGGACATTTTATAACTGAATCATTTGAACATTATACATTCGGGTATGCTAAAGGTAGACAAGAAAAAGAAAAAGGAATAGAAATTATTCAATTTATCTGGTTCAAACAATCTTCCATGAAAGAACAAATAGCCACAGGTATGGTATTTTATTGTATTAGATATTTTCAAGTTGAACTTAAAATTATAAAGAATTTCAACTGTAAAAATCATCATTTGTAAATCAAACTGAAAATTCTATTCTTAATTTAGTGCCTCGTAAGATGTTAGAAATATGTGAATTCACCTTTATTAGCCTTAAAGATCTTAAATTTGTACATGCAAAAGGTATTGAATCTTCATGGTACGATCTTAAGCGTAAACTCAATCGACAAGGTGCTGAATGTGATCCAACAGCATCATATTACCAAAAAAATAATGAACGAGAACGAGGTCCTGAATTCTTTGCCATCGTTAACAATACTTCAGTTTTCTATCATGATAACGATGAATGGCTTATATATCATAGTGCAGCAAATATTATATGTAACCTAATTCCATGGTCTGATATGAATCCACTAAATGAACCATAATATGCTTATAAAATTTTCCATATTTGATGGAAAAAAATTTGAAAAAAAACTGAATACAGCCTGATTGATTTTTTCGAGAGATACCAATTTAATTAATATATAATCGTTAGTATATAAATAACGTTTCTCTATATACATTAAAACACTGACTTTCTGAAAATTTTTCTATCATTATTTAGAACGGCTTACGCTTGATGGGCAAACTTAGATAAGTTATCGAATCGAAGACGCATTCTTGTAGCTCAATAAAAAGCTAAATGATTCGATGGAATATTCACAAAACTTGAATAGAGTTTTCTTGATTCCAAGTAAATTAAACTTAGTTTTTCCTTAATGAGGATGATTGTACGTATGATATTAGAGTGAGTACAGAGTAAGTGGATGATACGAAAACTTTTGTAAAATGCGACTTTAGAGATGACTCTATATAGCAATAAAAATTGCATGAAGTGTAGGACGTTGCCTTTCACAACTTCTTCGTACTGTGCAATATCATTGCTGTTTGATTTTAAAGTAATTCCAAGGAAATCTTTTTTTTAAAATTTATCAGATATTTTGGTTACTGACGAACAGTTTCGTTTGAATAGTGTTTCATGTTTTCATGATATACCTACGTCGATAAAATCTCCAGATATGAGACGTACGTCAAAACACGATGAAACAGTACATATACAATAGTTCACAATTTTCTTGCGATACTTTCTTTTCTTCTTCAGAATAAGATGGCACAGTATAATAAAGTAACTTGGCACATGGTAATTATTATACACTTTGGCCTTAAGTCTGTAGTGAATCTATTTTTGTCTTACATTTTATAATGTCTTTTATAGAAGGAAATTTTCATGTATGTACCGATCTTTTAAATTCCTTATAATCATGTATCAGAAGGAATAGTGATAAACATTAAAAAAATGAATTCCAAATTAGTTTTTCTATTAGTAAAGAAACTATTTTATGATTGGTTTATTTTTTGACAACAAGCAACTATTGACACTAGAAAATAAACAACACGACGTTTCTACCATAAATAATTGTTCTGGTTTTCTCCAAGCAAAAATGAAACCGAAGTGCATGCCATTCTCATTGCTGACAACAGAAGAAAGAAAGTAAAATTACACAAAAAATGAAAACACTTTTTATTTTAAAATAGAGATGAATGCAAGAAAGAAAAGATTTTAACGATGTTTGCTTTTGCTTAAGCGCATTTCACCTGAAGTTCTGTCCACATGTGCGCACATCTATTTCATTTGTTATTGTCTTTCTTAGTTATTATTTCACATAGATCTATTTTCAATTAGTAATGGGACTCATTCACGCAAAAGCCAAAATTGATGCCTTAGAAAGAGAACAACATTTAATAATGAAACTGAATGCCGATAAGGCAAAACAGCTTGCTGCTCAAGAAGAAGCTAATAGACGACAAGAACAAGCTACTTTTGAACATATGGTTGCAATGTTATTAGCAGTCGCACAATCAAAAGCGAACGAAACAGTTATAAGTGATGAAAAATCAGAAATTGAAATTGGAGGCACGACATACGAACTCATTCAATTTGTTAATCAAGGTGGTTTTGGTAAAATTTACAAGGCAAAAGTTAAGAACACAGGCCGTATAGTTGCTATTAAAATTGTGAAAAATATACCAGGCATAGAAGAAGAAATAAAAAATGAAATCAATTTTTTACGTTCAATTAAACGGATTCCTATTGATAATCATCCAGTTATTGAATATCGGGGTAGTAAATTAACCAAACAAGGTATTTTTATTGCAATGGAATTCGCTATTTGTGATCTTCACACATTTTGGAAAAATCAAACATTCCACGAAACAGTTGAAGAGATAACAATTTTTGGGATGATTATTATTATTTATGTACTGCGTGCATTAGCATTTCTCGAAGGATTGAATATTATTCATGGCGATATAAAACCACAAAATATTGTTCTTGTTCCAACTAAACAATATTTTTCTATAAAGTTAATTGATTTTGGTGCAGCCGAAAAAATGAATACTCTACGTGCACAACAGACAGTCGATGCAGACAAAGTTCATACTATATATTTTGCTTCACCAGAATTTTTACGATATGATTCAAAGAATTGTATATCAAGACAACTCCATAAAAAATCTGATGTATGGGCCGCTGGTGTTATGTTTTATCTTTTATTTTGTGGTGAATTTCCTTGGAATAATGAAGAATCATATAGATATTTTTGTAATGATCGATATGCAGAAGATGTTGTTGTACTAGCGAGCGGTGGTTATAGAATGATCATTGAGCTGTTACTAAAGAAAAATCCAGATGAACGTTCAAGTGCTAAAGAAACTCTTAAACAATTAAAAGCACATCCAGTATTCGGAAAGATTGTTGAATCACTGCATAGAAGTTTTTGTCCTGTTGATGATGTATGTCATATGGAGGTACCTGACGATGTTCGAGAAGAATTAGGCAAGTTAATAACTATTCTTGTTTCCTTCGAAGAATTATTCAGTTCTGTTGTAGCAAAACTATCAGCTTCCGTTTGAATCATGACAAAAGAATTATAAGCACTCTATCGTCCTTAATTGAATCGTTTTCTTTAATACATTATTTATCGAATATCATATACAGGAAATAGATTTCGGTGGAAGTCGAATAGGTCTATCATGTTTCCACTAATTACACTTAAATAGTTATACAGCTTTTGTTGTTCTGTACTATTTCACTCGTAGAATTTCCTTTTAATAGTTTATATTTCTTTAACTATGTTCAGTTAAACTCGCACGGCCTGGTCATTATACTGGTAGATCTGTTTCACCATCCAGCAGAATATCAGGTAAATATAGATATGAATCAATACTGAAGATTTCATTTGAAAGACAAGTTTTTCGTTTTAATTTCTATTGACAGCTGAAAAACGTCGTGCATGTAGATATAGTGGGAAATGTTACAAGTTTCGTACCAGTGTTTTCTTAGAATAGTAAAAATCTCTTGTTTCATCTCATTATAGGAAAGATGCTGATCATCGCGAGAAATTTGCGCATCCAGGTGATTTGGATTATCATGTGCCAAAAGTCTCTGATGATAGGCTTTCTGAAAATCCAAAATGTCGTTACGGTATATATTGTTATCGGTATGTGATTCTTCTTCGTCTCAAGAATGATTTACAGTAGTGAAAATAAGCTACAATTCATACACCGATATTCGTTACAATTTACACTGAAGGGCTGAAAGTTTATATCCACGTACCTTGCTAGTAATGCAAACTGAATGCAGAACATTCACTTGATCACTCAAATGCAAAAAGGATTATGATAGATGACACCTGTTTTTCTCTTGGATTGCTTAACCTGCAAAAATTTGCCTAACACTTGCTTGATTCTTTTTCTAAAATGCATAACAATTTTTCAATACTTTTTGGATGTAATTGGAGTTCAGTCAGAAATTTTTTCTCATTACAAACGTGAGTTCATTTGTTCATCCATGAATTTTTTCGCGTATCTTCAGATTAACAACACAAACAGACTCATCTTTGATATTCCGTTTGTATTTAGTATGAGTTTGTATTTGAAAAATTCCCGAAAACATTATTTATATACATTCTATAATGAGTTGATGCACTGCCATAAAATAAAGTAGATAAACTAAATATTGGAGCGTAGCATTATATAATGCGATCTCGACTAACTCACAAAATTCCTTGTTTCTAGAGTTATGAAACCTGAAAGAAAAATAGTTGTCATTATTTTCATTCGTCATAATACCAGTTTGGTTTTAAGCAATTAAAGCAGAATTTTATTCTTGACTAGCATCCACAGTCGACTATAATTCCACATGTCATCAAGCCACCACTACCTAACTAGCTGAGAGTTGTGTAAATAGAGACTTTTTGCTACTATTGTAAATATCTTTTTCTGAATACTTAAATAACAAGAACGATCTAATAATATGCTTCACAATGAATCGATGCCATTGGTTTGAAATACAAAAAAGAATTAGGAAGCAACTACTTTGATAGAACTTACATCCTATCTTGTTTCAATCTTGTTTCATTGTTATTTTTCATTACAGTAACGATCAATATCATCGTTCAAAATATTCGCATGCAGTTAATAGTGAGCATAACTGTACCAAAGAACAACAATGCGCATACCAGGCAGACTACTATAGGTATGGTATACTAGCAATATTCCTATTCTAAAACTTGAAAGATAAGACTTCTTAAAAAAGTCGGACGAAGTTTCTCAGAGCAAAAAAGAGACGCTATCAATAGCGTTGATTATTTCCGAATACAGGATCCGAAGTCAAACTTCAAATACTGATTTCAAAACTGAAATTGGATCAAGGAAGACTTGAATAGTAGCCTTGGAAAGCATTTTAAAAAAAGGCAATCTTTCAGTAATTTGAATAAAAATTGAGAACTGTAATTGCCGAAAGACTACTATGAAGAAGTTTGACCAAATCATAGGAGAATAATTATCTAATTCGTTTATGCTATAGACAACAGAATGCCACTCAACTGAATGAAAACATTACAATAAAACCATCCATCATGAGCTCGATACAATCAATGGTGACTCTAATGGAAGAGTTTTCAAACAAAGGTACGTGATTGAAGTTACATGATTCAATGTCATTTTTGTAAATCATCCTTTGACTAGAGCTAGAAGAGTTTATTAATGCTTGGCTTTCATGTCTGAACTTCAAATCAACATATAATTGTACTCAGAGACTCTATTAACTAGAATATGCAAACACTACACAGTCGACAGAAGTTACTTTGATTGTGTGATGAAATCCAATTTTCAGACAATATATTATTGTATTGACATGTCTTTTTAACAAGAGAAGGGAGTTAATATTTTTTATGCAAGACAAAAAGGCAGCATAATGATGACGATGCTCCATCAAAATTGACCCTTTACGAATAACTCCCCTATAGATTTTGATATCCAAGATAAATTTGTAGTAAATTGTTAATTGACAATCAAAGCTATAAAATTCTACTTACAATAGAAGTTTTGCGTTCGACAATTAATTCGGCATCCTATTCAGTGCTCAATTTTTCTATCAGACTTTCATTTGTGCCATAGTCTGCGGGACGGATAGTAAATAGACCGAGGAGGTTTACTTTTCAAGCTGAGTAGTGCAACATTTGCTGCCAATCGTGTTGCACACAAGAGCAAATAATACATTGCAAATACTTAGTTCGCCGAAGCAAATTCATGTTTCTGTCGGAAACAGATAGGCCTTTTTATTCCAGTTGTTGTGCTTAATCATATAAGGTGTTGTTCAGAATTTTGTGAGACATGATCTAACAGAAGTGTTGAAGTATAAAGGTAGACACTTGGATCTCTCCTCCGCAACAGATGTGACACACACCTTGGCAATGCTATTCTTCATTGCGGCGTGTGGTAGGCTTAGCAACAGAATGAAAACATTCTGTAAAATTGTTATGAAAGAAGATTGAATTTAAGATATCTGTCTTTGAACTCCTTTCCAAACTCACTTTAACGTATTACAAATCACATCATTCATCATTGATATATCAGTACGTTTAAAGTTACAAACGGTAGCATATAGGGTGTCCAGTAAGTAACTCCACAAAGAAAAAGTTGAATATCTTCATTACAACTCGACCAAACGGGCTCATTTTTTTACCAAGGATAGAGGCATGTTCACATTTCAAATCCATACGGACAAGGTTAGTGGGAACCTTTGCAAAGTATCACTATTGACCTCAACAAGAAAATTTTACTTTTTCA